TATTTTATATTTTTTTTATAGTCATAGAAAATATTTATTCTTTATTATTTTTTTTTTTATAAAAAGACAAAAAAAAAAAAAAAATTGTATATAATAAATAAAATATTATAATAGAAATAGACTCTTTTAAATAATAAATTATTATAAAAATATTGATAATATTTTATAAGGATAAAAATATAATATGAAATATTAATAATATTTTATAAAAATAAACAAAAAAGAAATAAAATATTTATATATATATAAACGTACGAACTAACAACTAAAAAAACAAAACAAAATAAAATAAAATAAAAAAAAAAAAAAAAAAAAAAAAAAAAAAAAAAAAAAAAACGAACGAACAAACAAACAAAACAACAAAATAAAATAAATAAATAAAAATAAACGAACAAACAAACAACTAAAAATCAATATAAAAAAAAAAACAATAAAAAAAAATAAAATAAATAAAAAAAAAAAAAAAAAAAAAGCGAACAAACAAACAAACAAACAACTAAAAAACAAAATAAAATAAAAAAAAAAAAAAAAACGAACGATCCAACAAACAACTAAAAAATAAAATAAAAAAAAAAAAAAAAAAAAAAGCGAACGAACAAACAAACAAACAAACAACTAAAAAACAAAATAAAATAAAATAAAAAAAAAAACGAACGATCCAACAAAAAACTAAAAATAACATATATATATATAAATAAAAAAAAAAAACGAACGATCCAACAAACAACTAAAAATAAAATATATATAAAAAAAATAACAAACAAACAACTAAAAACAGAAAACAAAAAAAAAAAAAAAAGAGAGAAATATATAGTTAATAAAATAAGAACAAATAATTAAAAAAATATATATATAGATAAAAAACAAAAAATCAAAAAAACAAAGAAAAAAAAAAAAAAGAAATAATTGCTTACTAAAACTAGATAAAAATATTCTATATAAAAAAATATCAGAATGGAAATAGAATCTATAAGTAAACTCCAGGAATATTCAGCTCTTTTTGAGCATACTGTCTCTTTTATTTGTACATGGCTTACTATGTATTTTTGTGAAAACTCAAATATAAAATTTATAGCTTTAATGGATATGTGGCAGCACTTTATAAAAATATTTAGAATAGTACTTTATGGATTTGAATTAAAAGAAGCCCCTAATTGGTTTTGTATATTCCATTCCTTTTTTAATTACTATTCACATAACTGTGTTATCATGTTAGCTTGTTTGTAAGTATATTATATTATTTTTATATATTTTAAAATTTTAAAAATTTTTAATGAATAATTTTTTTTTATTATTTTTTTATATCTTTATTAAAATATTATTTATACTAAAAAAAAAAAAAATTTTTTTCACATTTTTTGTATTATTGTACATCTAAAATTTATTTATAAATATGACTTCTTCCAAAAAAAAGTATTATTTTTAATCTATATGCTGCATTAAAACATCCTTTATATTTCGCAAAATATCATAAAAAAATTCGTCCATATGCATATATCTTTACCATAGTTTATATAGGAATTTTCATTTTTGCATCTTTGTTCGAACCAATTTTTAGGCCATATTCAGATGAAGAAATAGCAAATAGACATAATTGTTCTTCGGCTTATAGATATAGACTCTATCAATACCTTTTAACTAGTCCATTGATTAGTATTCCTTTCTCCATTTTTTCTGTCTACTGTACATGTAAATATCACTATAAATAATATATCGAAAATTAAAACTAAATATAAATAATTAATATTATTATTTTAACATAAATAATAAAAAATGTCTTACTTTCTTACTAATGATAATTGCTTAAAAATATTTTTATTGTATATACTATAATATTAAAAATATTAAGTTGTTATTATCCATAAAATTACTGTAACTCCGAAATCTTCTGTGAAAAACCAAGTTATGATTAGAACAAAAATACCACTTTCAAGATGGATTTATATTTTATTTATTAGTATAGCTATCACTGTACTTACAATGCTTAATTTATTAAGTAAATAAAATTAAACATTATTCATATAATTAATTATTGATATTACTAATAGTAGTATGTGGTAATGGTAGAAATAGTATAGGTCGTAGAAGAAATAGAAGTAGTAATAGTATAAATAGTAGAAGAAGTTGTATAATTATTTTTTATTCTTTTAATTTCTAATTTTAATTTTATTAATAGTTTACTTATTTATTATTATTATTGTCATTATTATTATTTTTTTAATATTATATAATGTAATATAATATATACATATTATTAACAAATTAGGTGATATAAATAATGGTCTTCATCCTGAAAATGAAAGAGAAAAACTTGGTACATTATATTATTTTACTGCAAGTACAGGAATTATAATATTCCTTGTTTCATTATCCCCAAGTCAAATTAAATATTTATTTGGTGTGAAAAGTTCGAATACCTTTGATTATGAAGAAGATGAAATATCTAAAAATGAAATAAAATCTAATATTATTTCATTATATGGTGATGATATTCAATTTAGCCGAATAAATAATAATAGTAGAGGAAGTATTCAAAGTCAACATAGTAATTACAGTCATCGTAGTAGCCATAGTCGCCATAGTAGTTACAGTCGCCAAAGTAATTATAGTCGTCACAGTCGTCATAGCAGTCATAGTCGACGTCCAAGTCATAGTCGTAATCTTAGTCAGGGTAGTACTAAGGATAGTTCTTTTTCATTTATAAATACTAGTTATAATAGTAGTAGTAAACTTATTAAAAATGATGATCCTTCCTTTTTGAATTTTAATTTTCCTAAAGAAATGGATGAAGTAGAGGATTTATCTCAATTTATTATCAATATTAATTCATATGTGTACGGCTCATCTCCAGATAATAGGTTACTAAACGAACAACCAAATAATAATAATTATTTCAGTAATAATAAATCACCAGATTTGTATAGGAAATCACCAGATTTATATAGAAAATCACCAGATTTATATAGGAAATCACCGGATTCTTATTACTTTCCAAGTATACCAAATGATAGTAATTTAAATTACATTCGCAGTTTAAATCATCACTCTAGAAAAAGTAGTGTTGAACAGAAATCTTCTAACAATTATTCTGTTGAGACTCCAAATATTGCACACGTTAAAAAAAATACGACTCGCAATAACAACTATAGATAAAATTTAAATTATTGAAAAAAAAAAAAAAAAAAAAATAAGAAAACAAAAAGTAGTAAATAAATTAACTAAATAAAAAAAAGATTAGGTTTAAATTATTAAAATTTCAATAAGAGAATAAATTTAAACCTTTTTTTTTTTTTTTTTTTTTTTAAATATATATATATAAGAACAATATAATATTAATATTATGAAGGTTTTATAAAATTAATATTATATAAAAATTTATATATTCTATATTAAATAATAATATAGAAATTGAATATAAAAAAAAACTTATAGATAGTAAAAATTATCTTTTAAAATTATCTTTTAAAATAATCTTAATATTTTATAATTTATTCATTAAATTATTTTTTTTTCTAACTCGTTCAATTAATATATACAATGAAAATTAATTATTAACATTTATTAATTTGATAGTTGAGTAAAAAAAAAAAAAAAATAATTAAATATATTATGGAATAAGATATTTAATAATAATAATGATTATTTCAAAAGATAAAAAAAAAAAAAAAAAAAAAAGAATATATATATATATAAAATTATATCACAATTAAATAAGATATTAAGTATAAATATATATAAAAAAAAAAAAAAAACTATATCAAAATTAAATAAGATATTAAGTATAAAAAAATATATATGTAAAAAATTAAGTAAAGTTATTAAGTACAAAAAAAAAAAAAAAAAAAAAAAAAATTAAATATAATATTAAGTATAAAAAAAATAAAAAAAACTATATCAATATAGATAATTATATTAATATAAAAACTATATCAAAATTAAATAAAATTTAAAATATCAAGATAAAAATATTATATTAAAAGTAAATAAGAATATAGAAATAAAATAAAAAGAGAAAATATATATATATATAAATTTTATATAAAATAAATAAAAAATAAAAAATAAGAATTACATCAATGAATAAAAAAAGTAAGAAATATAAAAAATTATTTATATACAAGAAAAAAAAATAATAAATATAGAAATGAAAAGAAATATAAAAGAAATAAAAAATAAATGTAAAAAAAAAAAATAATAAAAAGAAAAATAAGAAATTAAAATAAAAAATAAAGTTTTTAAAACCAAATATTTATAGTATTTTTATTTTTATTTTTATTTTTATTTTTATTTTATTTTTAAATATTGTATTATTAAATATTAAATATTTTTATTGTTAATTGTTAAAATATATTTATTGTATTATTAAAAATTAAATATTTTATTTATTTATTGTTAAAATTTTGATTTCTAACTATCTATTACTAATTAATATTTTTATTTATTTATATATTTTATACATATATATATATTTTATATATATATATATTATATATCATTGTATTTATTTTTTTTATCTACATATTATAAATATATTTATTTTACTTCATTTTATTTTCATTTTTATTTTTTTTTATATTCTTATTAATTTATTTTAATAAATATATTTTTTCTTTCTAATTAATTTATTTATATTAATATATATATATATTTTTCTATTTAATTTATAATATATATATTTTATGTTTATTCATTTATTTTATTTTATTTTTATTTTTATTTTTTTTTATTTAAAATATATATATATATATATAAATAAATAAAATTTATTTATATTTACTATATTTATATACATGTATTCCATCATCTTTCTCTCTATTTCATAGAGTTAATTATAAAGGGTTGATTTTGATTTTGAATTTATTCATTTTTTCATTTTATTTTATTTTATTTTATTCTTTTTTTCATTTAGTTCTTTGGTTCTTTGTCTAACTAAAAAATATATATATATATATATATATTATTTTTTCGATTTCTAGGCTCTTTAAAAAGAAATTTTTCTTCGTCACCTGCAGGACTCAAACCATTTCCCTGCGCTCCCAAAGAAAAATGTCTTAGCAGGCCACTGCGTTAACCACTCCGCCAAATTGACCAGCTAATGTATGTTGATACGGGGTGTCACTAAATACCTTGTATTTCCTATTAAATACTCTTAATAATAATATAATAAAAATTATTAAATCTTATTATTAAAGTCCTTTATTAATATCAAATATAATAAAAATTATTATTAAATATTCTTATTAAAATCTTTTATTAATATCAAATATAATAAAAATTATTATTAAATATTCATATTAATTTCTTTTATTAATATTAAATATAATAAAAATTATTATTAAATATTCTTATTAATTTCTTTTATTAATATTAAATATAATAAATATTATTATTAAATATTCTTATTAATTTCTTTTATTAATATTAAATATAATAAATATTATTATTAAATATTCTTTTATTAATATTAAATATAATAAAAATTATTATTAAATATTCTTATTAAAATTTTTTATTAATATCAAATATAATAAAATTATTATTAAATATTCTTATTAAAAATTATATATAATTTAAATCATTACTAATTCTTATTTTTATATTAAGTGTAATAAAAACCTATTTCAATAAATATTTGATATAAAATACAGAATTATAAGTTTCTGTATAATATTTTCTAAACCTTTGAAATAAACTAAAAATAAAACAAAAATCCAAATTAAATTAAATCTTTATTAAAATAAAAATGAAATAAAATACAGAAGAATTTCAATAATAAAAATGATCTAAAATACAGAAAATATCAATTTTGTATAATTCTCTCTTTGAAAACAATATCAAGAAGAAGCTACCGCCCGGAATGCCTTTCATGATACAATCTCTAAATTAATTTTTATATTTTAATTTAATAAATATTATTTTTTATTAAAATAATTTAAAATAATAGTTAAAAATTAAAATAAAATAGTTATAATAGTTTTTTTTTTTTTTTATAAAGAATATATTAATGATAAATAAAATGTATTTAAAATAAAAGTATAAAAAGAAGAATAAATTTTTTTCTTTTTAATACGGGAACAAATAATTTTAGTTTTAAATTTTAAATAAAGAATATTTTAAAAATTAATTTTTTTTTTTTTTTTGTTTCCAAATTCATTTTTGTTTGTTAATATTTATTTTTTTTTTTTTTTTGTTTTGACTTTTTTTTTGTTTCCAAATTCATTTTTGTGTGTTAATATTTATTTTTTTTTTTTTTTTTTTTTTTTTTTTTTGTTTTGAATATCTTAGTGTTTCAACCCCAGCCCGTATCATTGTTGATAAATAACGAAATTATAAAATTAAATTTAAATAATAAATAATAAATTTTTGTTTAGATTTTGATATATTTTATTAAAATTTTACAAAGTCAATATGTCTATATAGTAATAGGCTATATAGATGTATAATAATAATAATAATAATAATAATAATAATAATAATAATAAATATTTAAATGGTTTAGTTTAATAAAAATTTATTTATAATAAACTTTAATAATTAAAATTATTTAATTATTTTTATTTATAATAATTTCTCTTTATTTAATAATTAAATATCTATAAACTATTACTATTAAGGTAATTTTACAATAACCTTACAAAGAACATAAAATATAGATTTTTACATCTTTCTTTTATACTTTGTAAGTTACATATTAATAATATTTAATTATAAGATATTAATAATATAGTAATATAAATATTAATAAAATATAAAGATAAATTTAATTATATAATTAATTTGAATAATTGAAATTAATATAGATATGTTGTTAACATCTATAAAAACATAATATAAATTGATATAAAACAAATATTTGTAGTAACATATTTGTATGTTTAATAATAATTATTAAATATTAAATTTATATTTTTTTATAATAATTATTTTATTTTATTTTATTTTATTTCAATAAGTATTATTATAATTATAATAATTATAATACTTTAATTCATATAAAATTAATATAGTTCTATATATTAGACTATATAATTAATAGATTACTTATTTCTTATATATTATTTATAATAGATATAGAGACTCTTGTAAAATTTTAGGAATTAGAATTAATATTTTAATTGTATAAATATTATTAATAAATTTTACTAAACAACCATTATTTTAAAAACCCATTGCTTATAAATTATTGCACATAAAAGAACCGTATATCAAAAATCGATGGAGATATCGGGGATGTGCTGTGTAAAAATTAATTTATAAGTAGTGGTGTTTAGTAATTTTGTTAATTATAAATTCGTATATATTTACATAAATTCTCTTCAGTTAGGATTAATTAAAATATACTGCTTAGGATATAAATTTTTAATTTTTTTATTGGTTATTTATAGTAATATTATCTTTGGTGAAGAGAAAGTTTTACAATATATATGTTATTTCATTCATTTTAGTATAGTTTAAATAAATTGTTTTAAAATAAATAAATATTTGGAAATTTAATAAATAATATATATATAAAATTAATATATATAAAATTAATATAGTTCTATATATTAGAATATATAATTAATATAATACCTATTTCATATAAATAGATTAGATTATTTATATTAGAAATAGAGGACTCTCTTGTAAATATTAGGAATTAGAATTATTATTTTAATTGTACTATTATTATAAATTTTATTAATAAAATTTACTAAACTACCATTATTTAAAACCTACTGTTTATAAATTATTACCCATAAAAGTCCCTCATATCAAAATAAAATGCACGTGACGTCAAATGTATCATTGAAATTAATTATTAATATAAACCAATCTGAAGAGAATTTATGTAAACATATACGAATTTATAATTAACAAAATTACTAAACACCACTACTTATAAATTAATTTTTACACAGCACATCCCCGATATCTCCATCGATTTTTGATATACGGTTCTTTTATGTGCAATAATTTATAAGCAATGGGTTTTTAAAATAATGGTTGTTTAGTAAAATTTATTAATAATATTCATACAATTAAAATATTAATTCTAATTCCTAAAATTTTACAAGAGGGTTCTCTATTTCTATTATAAATAATTTAATCTATTTATAAGAAATAGGTAATATATTAATTATATATTCTAATATATAAAACTATATAAATTTTACATGAATTAAAGTATTATAATTATTATAATTATAATAATACATATTGAAATAAAATATAATAAAATAATTATTATCAAAAAGATATAAATTAATATTTAATAATTAATATTAAATGTCCAAATATGTTACTACACATATTTGTTTTATATCATTAATTTATTTAATGTAATTATTAATAATTAAAAATTGATATGAAATAGAAATAAAAACTCTAATTAATAATAAATTTATGTTAATTAAAAAAATGGTGTAAAAGCATAAATTTATGTATTAATCTAGTTTTTATTGTATTTATATTAGAAATTAATTTATATATTTTTTATGAGTGTGTCATTTCGCAAAAGTTTCATTTCGGAAAAGTTTCATTTCGCAAAATTTTAATAAATAGATAAATAAATAATAAAATAAATAAATAAATAAATAAAAAAAAAAATAAAAAAAATATAAAAAATATAAAATAAAAAAATATATATATATATAAAATAAAAAATAAAAATATATATATAAAATAAAAAATAAAAAAATATATATAAAATAAAAAATAAAATAAAAAAAATATAAAATAAAAAATAAAAAAAAAAAAAAAAAATATAAAATAAAAAATAAAAAATATAAAATATAAAATATAAAATATAAAATATAAAATATAAAATATAAAATATTAAAATAAAAAAATAGATACCACCTAAAATCATCCTAACTTTGTGCTACTTTTAACTCCCTTTTTTATGATGTCCTCATCTTTTTTTTTTACTGAACTGTTTATAAATATTTCTTTTATTATAAAAATTTATTAGCAATTTAAGATTTTTAAAATACTGCGCAAGGACTTAAAAAGTGTAAAATGATCAATTAATTATTTAAATATTATTTTTTAATATTTTTTTTAATAATTATATTTTAAATTTAACAATTATATTTTAAATTATTATCCTTTACATCTTTTAAATTATTAATACTTATTTTTTTTATAAATATAAAATTCTTATATATATTTTAAAAAATTATAAAACGTTTAAAACATATGATAAAATATTTTATTTTTTTAAAGCGTTTAATTCTAATGAATATTTATTATTATATAATGTATATTTATTATATATATGTCCATATATATTTTTTTTAAAAAAAAATTTTTAAAATTTATTTATTTATTATAGTTTTATATATTTATTTTTATTTATTTAGTTATTTATTTAAATTATATATATTATTTATTTATTTTATTATTAATTTATTTATTTATTAAAAATTTTGCGAAATGACACTTTTCCGAAATGAAATTTTTCGAAATGAAACTTTTTATGTAAATTTTCCGAAATGAAACTTTCCGAAATGAAATTTTTCGAAATGTTCCTCCCCCATTTTTTATTATTTAATTTAAACATTAATGAAAGTAAATTTAAATATTTATTACTTTAATATAGGAAAACTTTATTATAATAAATAATTATAAAAGAGAAAAATACTTTGAAATAGTTTTATTCCTTTGTCCAAGAATAAGAAATAGTAGATTAGTGTAATCGTTGAGATCAAGATATGAAAATAAATATTAATTTTAAGAATAAATGTTAGTTTACATTTTAAATAATGATAAGTAAATGTAATTCTTCTAAATAAATAAAATTTAAATAAAATTATTTTCATAAAACAAATAAATAATATTCCCCATTTAAAAGAACAAACCTTAAAAGAACCGAACCTTAAAAGAACCGTACTTTATCAAGTTTTTATTTTCATTTCATATCAGATATATATATTTATTAATTATATATTAATTTTATATTAACTAGATTAAACTTATTTCTAACAATAATTTCTAAAAATAACTTTATATCAACAAAGTTAATATATAATGAATTTTTTTTTTTTTTTTTTTTTTTTTCTACTTTTGATTTTTTTAAATATGAAAATAAAATAAAATAAAATAAAA